TGAGTTTTCAAAATTATTTGCTGAATTTTCGAGTAGACTTGTAAATTTTCATCATGTGACAACTTTCCTGAAATTTTAAGGCATTTTGACATTGAAAATTCACAATTTGATTAAACAAATTAATGGAAATTGCAAATTTCAGTTTATATAATTGGTAAAAATTGATAGAAATCAGGAAAAATCCGGTGAATGTCTGGAATTTTATGATTTCCCCCCCTAAATAAAATTCGATGTTACTCTCCTGAAAATTTCAACTAAACTCATCATTAGATTCCCATTTTTATCCAACAATATCCACATATGATTGCTTTAATTTCAAAAATATAATTCAAGCTGATGGACTGAAAATCTTTGACTGAAACTTCTAGTCACTTTAATATTCTCATCAAGCGACAGTTTTCCTGAAATTCTGAAAATTCACAATTTGATAAAAAATTTCAGTTCAATTATTTCCTAAAAAGTGATAGAAATCCGGAAAATTCACGTAAATACCTGAAATTTCATAACTTTTTCCCCTAAATCTAATGCAATGTTACTCTCTCGGAAATTCCAACTAAACTCATCACGAGATTCCAATTTTTATCCAACAATATTCGCATATGATTGCGTTAATTTCAAAAATATTCTCTAAAACTCGGACTGCATTCTCATTAAGAGAGACCCACTCCCTCTCCCCATGCTCCACCACCCATTCCCGTTCAAGAAGCCCAGAAAAATACACGGAGAGAAATATTCAATAAAAATTACGTATCTTTTCCGTAATTTCGGAGCGAAATGTGGTTGCAGGAAATTTTACGCAACTGTCACGGAATTTTTCCAGAGCGTTCCGTAATTTTTATCTGAATCTCCTGTGAAAAATGAGGATCGGTGAGCGAATTGCGAGTTCCGTAATTTTTACTGAATATTTCTCTCCGTGTAATGAAAAATATCCAGGCAACCTCGCCCCCTTCGTTCGATTTCCATTGCTTCCATTCAAAACCGAAAAATTTTTTTCCACATTTCCCCTTCGTGTTTTGGGTCTTAAACGCATCCCCATTTATATATCGTGCTCGAAGCAATATCGTATTGATTGCAGGGTGGCCGTGCCCCCAGAGAAACACATTACATGATTAAACCAGCCCCAACACGGACTATGAGGATAGCACGTTAGGCCTCCAGCCTTTTTCCAGCACTTACCGTATTAAAATATCCGCTCACGGTTCCGTCGTGTGCGACATTTTCTTTCAACAAAACAAAAATACCCTCATTCCCGGGCGAATCGACCCCACGCCTTCCACGAAACTGTGAAAATGTGTCAGGCCCATGCACATTTTTTATTCATTGGGCTTTTACAACAAATGAGAGAAATAAAATACAACAAACAAAATATATAATTTTATTTCCAAAGTCCATTTCATTTGTCCACGCCCTTTGAGTGTTTCCCTCGTTTTCTCTTTGCTACGGAGCCGCGGCCGGTTATTTCAACCCGAAACGAAAAGAGGAGAGAATCCAAACAGCGGTGAACCGCGGGAGTTTTTTTCTGTTCGAATGCACCACACGACTAAATTCCACACTCTCATTTATATATCGGCTTCGATCGATATTTTTGCTCCTAAACTATTTCGCGGGAGTCTCTCCTCGATCGACGGGATATACATCAATGTTTTTAGGGGCCACACTGTTCCATGACCAAATGAATTCCATATTGGTGGATATTTATTTTTATTTATCAAATTTAGGAATTTTATTCGTTATCATTTCGGAGGTTAATTTTGAGGGTTATTGAGGGTGCTTTTTTTGTCCAGATTTTTTTTTGCATTAATAATGTGAGGGATAAATAGTAAATATTATTTTGCAATTGAGTTCGAGGAAGTCATGTGTCTAACGTGCATTGTGCTTGGAAAAAAAAACTGTTTAGTAAATACCAGAAAAAAAACTTTCAGAATTTATTTATTTCAAGTAAGAAATATCCGAGAAAATATCTTTTAAATAAAAGAGCCGAGTATTTGAATTGACTAAATTTTATAAATGATTTGACGCAACTCGATTTTGTGATCATTAAATTGTAATAAAATTATAAGCTTGTCCAAAAAATTCTAAAAAAAACTCTAAAATATACTTTAAAATAAAATTTAAAAAATTTGCAATAAGCGAAAATATTTAAATAAATTAAAATTTTATATTCTATTATATTTATATCCATTGCTTAATATATTATAAACAAAGAGGAACGAGGTATCAAAATAGAAATCAAAATGAAATAATTTTGAAAAAAAAAATGAAAAACGAATCTCAAAACCATGAAAAATCCTCGAAAATATAATTCCCCACTTGGTGATCTCTAATTCAATCAAATGGATAGGAACACTCACATCACGAGTCTTCCGGTCTGTCGTTCTATATCGTATTGTGCATAATTAAGCGGCATCTTCGACCTTGCTCCACTCACCGAGATTGAGGGAATGAATAAGTCAAATGGACAGGTGAACGTCTGAGATTTTCAAAAGGGGTCGTACACCCAATTATCACAATGTGCCTACGTGTCACTGGAGCTGATAGCTCATCGCAGATGCACACGCTTTTTCCGAGTGAAAAATCCCTCCGTCATAATTCCGATGGAAATATGTAAGGAACACTTTGACACGTTTTTCAACACAAAATGTACGACTTTATTCCGTGCCCTCTCATGTTTGGACTCACGTGCCGGGGGTATATGCAACGCAGTATAAGTCGTAACCTGCATTATGTACGAGTGGCAATCTGTTGCACATATACACGTATAAACAGAAAATAGTCCATGGTTGAATTGCTTGGCGGAGAGATGGAATGGGGAATGGAGATTTTTCCGGTATTTAATATGCATTATTTACTTATCAGTCATCAGGTGATGTGATAAGCCCTGATTGACATTGAAAATGAGTGATGGGTGATGATTATATCTGATCATCGATGATCCAAAAATATTATTTTCCTTTGACAATCTCCTTTCGTAAATTGATAATGAGAATTATCTTTAATTATTTTCGAATTGAATTTTTTTAGTAAAATTGAATTTCGATTTTTTCAAAAAACAAAATTGAGTGATTGTCTCTGAATTAAATCAATGACTAAGTAAGGATAGTAATTAATGTTGCGAATACGCACAAGTTTTTAAAGATTTAGAAAGAATGATTTTTTGGATAAAAAGTGCATTGTTTGTTAACTATTCACGACGAAAGGTCGCAAATTTAAGAATTGTGATTTTTCAAATATTTGGAATTGAATGTTCCCCGTAAAATTGACTTTCCATTTTTTCAGGTTTTTAAAATGTTCTCGAATAGAATTGAGTGATGATTCTATCTGATCGTCGATGATCCAAAAATATTATTTTCCTTTGACAATCTCCTTTCGTAAATTGATAATGAGAATTATCTTTAATTATTTTGGAATTGAATTTTTTCTAGTAAAATTGAATTTCGATTTTTTCGAAATTTTAAAATGTTTTTTAACAAAATTGAGTGATTGTCTCTGAATTAAATAAATGACTAAGTAAGGATAGTAATTAATGTTGCGAATACGGACAAGTTTTTAAAGATTTAGAAAGAATGATTTTTTGGATAGAAAGTGCATTGTTTGTTAACTATTCACGACGAAAGGTCGCAAATTTAAGAATTGTGATTTTTCAAATATTTTGGAATTGAATTTTCCCCGTAAAATTAACTTTCCATTTTTTCAGGTTTTTAAAATGTTCTCTAATAGAATTGAGTGATGATTCTATCTGATCGTCGATGATCCAAAAATATTATTTTCCTTTGACAATCTCTTTTCGTAAATTGACAATGAGAATTGTCTTTAATTAATTTGGAATCGAATTTTTTCTAGTAAAATTGAATTTCGATTTTTTCGAATTTTCAAAATGTTCATTAACGAAATTGAATGATTGTCTGAATTAAATGAGTGACTAAGTAATTATAGTAATTAAAGTTGTGAAAGAATGATTTTTTAAGTGGAAAATAAACTGTTTATTAATTACTCCGGAAATAAACTGTTTATTAATACACCGAAGGTTACAATGTTATGTTATTGTAATCTTTTAATAATGTTTGAATTGTTAAACATTATTAACAAATGTTTTTTATAGTACAAATTGATTGTTCATAAATTATTCATAGAAAATGCTTGCAGTTCTCAAAAATTGCTATTTTTCAATTATTTCATCAACCTTCCTCTAAAAGTAAATTTTCTACTTTTTTCAGACTTTTAAAATGTTTTCCAACAGTTCAATATAGAGATTCAAATTCAGACCTGCAAAGTTTAAATAATAAAATAATTGTAAAATGTTCGGAAGCTTAGAGTAAAATGGGGTTTAAATGAAAGTTCTGATGTTCGACTAGAGAAATAGAAAATCATTTCACTCGAAAAAATACAGCCAAAGTACTTGATATCCTGGACTACAAAAAAAATTGACATGCTCCCCAACAACATCTCCAACATCTCACAGGAGACTCAGATAAAAATTGCGGAACGCTCTGGAAAAATTCCGTGACAGTTCCGTAAAATTTCCTTCAACCACATTTCGCTCCGGAATTGCGGAAAAGATACGTAATTTCTATTGAATATATCTCTCCGTGTGCTCAGGTAGATGCACGGGTCCTCCCAACCAGCTCCTCCCTTCAAGAGGTACATAATTTTCAAAAATTATAAATTCGAAATTTCTATTAAATTCAAGAAATCACAGAAATACGGGGAAAAATTCACTGTTTCCCCAATAAAATTTCGAGTGCCGGCACTGGAATTTTTTCCTGGCCGTCAGTTTTTGTCGAATATCTCGGAATTTAAAAGAGGTAGCAAAATTTTTGTCACGACCTTTTTTGTAGAACTAATTGAGAGTTATAAAAAAGGTCATGAGGAAAATTTTGCTATCTCTCTTAGATTCCGAGATATTAATCAACAACTGGCAAAAAGTCAAAACCGACTTAAATCGATTCACCGCTTCACTACAGAATTGTTTCCACGTGCCCAAAAAATAGACCAAAGCTTACCCTCCAGATTTTTATTCCTCGCGAGTAACGCAAGCAGCACATCAGGATTGGGCGGTGCATCCCCAATCTCTCCGGTGTCATGATGATGACCCGATGGAATAGGTGTACCAAGTGACGGTATACCAGTGGCGGATGGACGGGGCATGATAACGGGCCCACTTGTCAGTTGCGGTAGGGCCGCCAGACCGGTGGATGGATGAAGGGAATTATGGGAAGATGGGCCATTTGGCGCTGGTTGTACAGCCGCTGACATTGAGAGGTCAACACCGCCAAGGAGTACTGGTCTGCAGCCACCGCCACTCGACACCGCCGGGAGGATTCCTCCACCCCCCGGCAGTGGTGCATATGGCAAATACAGCTCCAGTCTACCGTCACCGCCTCGAAAGGTCTTTAATCTCCCCCCGAAATTTCCCAAAGAAAAAAAAAACAGTTCCCTTACAAAAAAGAAAACAAAATGAACCAACGGGAGAAAAATCGGCTAGCGTTTCATCCAGTTTCAGAACGATTATTCCCAACTAAAATTTCCACTGAGGCACTCACGCACTCTCCAAATACACCCGACTCACTCAGTACTCACTGTACAAATGTTTGTAAATAGAATACTCCTGATTCTCCGCACTCTAAACCACTGAATATCGACGTTCATTCACAGGATTTTTTTTCCTGCTCTTCCTCGCTACCGATGAAGGCTTTCCCACCTTCGAGAGCATCCGACCAGCGGCATTCATAAATAATTACGAACGATTTTCCCCGTTTTCTGGGCGTTTTTTACCAGTAATGAAGGAGGATCACTCGCGGCCTGATAACGCGGTATTGCCAGCACAATAACAAGATCCCGACGGTATCGAGTGGCCAGCGTCCGAGCGGACCCAGTGCCAGCGGGACACTCGTCGCACAACGTAAAGACCCCCTGATCCGACGGATCGTTTCGCCTTATCAGAGCTGCACTCCACTACCAGTTTATCTCGACCATAACCTTGGCTATGGCCACGGCCCGATGAACTTTTCACGATTGAAAAAAATTTTGAATCACGTTTTTCGGAAAACTTCACGTCGAATTGGGCCACACGCTCCACCTCGTCGACCATCGACACTGGATTTGAGCTCCCCAGACTCTTCGCGAGTTAGTGAAACCCTGGCGATTGGTTTTTACACGGATGACAATGTAAATCCATACCAGTGGACCAATGTAAATCTTGCGAGATCCTTTTCGTGTATAATACGTTGGTTCTTGCTGTTTGAAACACGAGTGGAAGGAGAGATAGAGGAGAGAGATTTTAGAGGTGAGTAGATGGGGACCCGGACAGATGGTATGAAAAAGTCACTGGGATTGACTTAGTCGTCGCTCCTTTTGCGGATTCTCTTTCGTAGCCGCGCCAGGAGACCGCCGGCACGTAAGAAAGAAGCCCGGATTCCGTGACTTGGACGTTGTCGATACACGATCGGAACCATTCGACTTGGTTTTCTTATTTTTTCTTCAGTTACTCATTTTCGTTTATTTCTGCACATTTGTAAAAAATTATTTCCAACATTCGCCCGAATTTTCGGCATTTTTCAACTGGTGATTTTAGTTATTTTTTCGTTTGGCTCCTGCGGACGACGATTTTTAGACGATACTTCGACGGCGAATCTGACGGAAGGTGCGATTTGATTAGCGGATGCCGGGGAACTATGGCCGGATATCCACTCGGTACAGAGGCACTAGGCAGGAGCGTCCCGCTGATAAACAGAGAGGAATGTTAGTGAGGAAGCGAGATGTTTAGGTATCCCCTTCCTCGCGGGTTGCCTATCGCACAACCCTGTGAGCAACCATTTCCACTATCTCGATTTTCAGGGCTCGTGGTGGGGGTGGCGGAGGGTTGGAACAACACTCCGATGGGGTACACGCAGGCGCGAGATTACTCTCGGCGCCCCCTTTGGGGATGTAATTCATGAGGGCGATGCTGGATCGGGGATCTTCTCGCCGATGAAGTTTACATTTTTGGAAAATTGTGGGTTGGACGCAGTTTTCTGGGAGTCAAGTGCAAATGAAAACGGAGGGAGTCACTATTTTGGAGGATAATTGATTGTAGTTGAACAGAGGTGGGCGCTGTTAGATGAGAATTGAATAGAAATAATATTTCCAAGTTTTTGATTAAATATATTTGAAGGTTTTTTTATTTCTTGTTGATTTTTTTCTGGAGTTATGATTTTTTGTTGTTTTGGAAATATTACTTCGAGCTGATGATTTTAGTTGAACTGGCAGTATTCATGTATTTATCTTTTGAGAATTGGATGAAATAGTATATTTACTGTTCTGAGGGAAGAACTAACAAGTTCTTGAACAAGTCTTGTTTGGATGGAGAGAATCGCAGATTAAAAATTTCAGAAAACGGGATTGTGTCATATGAATTTGAAAGTCTTAAACATGAATCATGCGTTGCTTTCAATGAAAGCAATGAAAATATACAAGAAAAAAAATCCTCACTTTGAGATGTCAAAGATTGTGAATTGAGTCTTCTGAAAGGATCAAATAGAGATTTTCAAGTCTCAATTTTAGACTTCCACAAGTCTTGATTTAATAATTCCATAAGTCTCCAATTGAAATTTATTTGCATTGGGTGTATCTTTCATACAGGAAAGTTGATCAAAAAAATTCTGTCCCTATCATCATTAATATTTTATTTAAGAATTAATTTCTTAGCTGTAATTATTGAACAGGCAAAATGAAAAACGACGTCCCTCGTTGCGTATAAAACGAACATTCTTCGGGAAAAAAATACATAAGATAGCATCGAATAACGAAGAAGTACTGCTAGAACTGACTGTTCTAGCTTGCACAGCGAATACAAATTTTTTGAGACATCTAAATCTTTTTTTGGGACAAAAATTGTTCATCTCAGGACGGTCTTCAAATCGTCAGCACTAGGTTTTATTTTTTCTGCAGTTTTTAACTTGCGATTTTTTGTTTCAAACAAGACTTGTTGAAAAAAAAAAATTGTCACTGTTTATGTTATTTTTGTATTTGAGTGTGTATGGAACACTTCACGATTTTGGGTGTCATCCTTGCGCAGAGGCCATGCTAATCTTCTCTGTATCTTTCCAATTTTAGTATATGTACTGCCGAAGCAAGTACTTGAATGTATATGGAATAAGTTTTTTTGTCTCAACGAAAAGCTCAATTATAGTACAAATTACTTACCAATGTGTCCTTCTCCTATCCCTCATCATCTCCACTGAGTTCTCGCCGTGATTTTTACACCTAAGCAAACAAAAAAAAATTTTTTTAAGCACCACAAAATTAATAGATATCCATTGCAAGAAATAAGGCATCGATCTCAAAGAGAAAGACAATGTTACCAAAACTACCATAATTAATTTTAAAATATTTAATCAACTCGAGAGCCTCTCCTGGTCAAAGTTTACACATTCTATAAAATATTGTTCATTGAACTTTTTTGAACCAGTTTTTAAGGTTTGTGAATATTGTATATACTGACTGTTGTTTTTTTAAATAAAAACTTGGTTAAAAGGAAAAAAAGTTCTCGTCGTGATGGAATTCCAATGAACGATGAAAAGTAAGTTGAATCTACACACAGAAAAACCAACACGTAAATCACGTTTTGCTAAGTGTAATTTATGGTTTGCTAAACGTAATTTAGGCTTAATGCCAATACGATGTCTGGTGAGTTTTTTCCGTCATGAAAATCGGAATTTAGGCTTTAAAAAGGCGCATTTTACGGCAAAACAAAAATGTAAGGTACGCCCAAACAAAGCGTGTTTTACGTTTCACTAAGCGTATTTCACGCTGAAGAAATCGTAAATTGCAATCTTAATAGAAATGTATTTTAAGATTTACTTACGCATAATTTACGAAAAAACATCGTATTTTATACTTAAAATAACTTTTTTTCTTCGTCGTTCATTATGGAGAAGTAAACGTAAAATATGGAAAAAAATAATCGTAATTTATGAATACGAAACCGTAAATTACATTTATGTAATCGTAATTTAAGGGGATTTTGAGAATAATTTACGTTTCAACTTCGAGAAAAATAAAATGCACTTCAGAAATCGGAAAAAACGACTTCTTAAACATAATTTATGTTTAGGTTTTTCTGTGTGCGTGGGTTGACCCTCACCAAAACAAATCAAAGGAAAAAATCAATTGAGAACAAAGCTTGAATAAATAATTTCACATTGAAAATTCCAAACAGAAAAATGAATGAATTCAATCCACTATTTATCATCGTTTGTTTCATTGAAATTGTTGAATTTATTTAATCGAATAATAATCGCCGACATAATGCTCATATATCGAAGGAAAAAGTATTTTTCTTTACCATAAGAATATCATGGCAATAAAAGTTACCATGCGAGTCTCCTTTTATCTCACTAATTATTCGTCGCAACATAAAAACAATAATTCGAGTTGAACCCAAACACATTCAATATCTTTATTGTCAAGAAACCACTGCAATCCTTTCAATCCGCCTTTATTTTTTAATTTTATAACTGTTTTACCGACAGTCAGTAATTGATTAAATTTTTTAAATAAAAAGAAAAAATTTAATCTTTGAGAACTTATTTATTGAAAATTTGGAGTATTGTCTTGCGTGAATTGAGACTCTAGAACTCATATCGAGTAATTTTTTCTGGCAAAACAAGTCGGCGCCGTGGCTTAGTTGGTTAAAGCGCCTGTCTAGTAAACAGGAGATCGGGGGTTCGAATCCCCCCGGGGCCTTGACAAGATCGAAAGATCATTTTTTTTTCGTTTTACTGCATCACTTGATGAAGAAAACTACTTCTTCGGTTTATTGACATTAAACTTTTTCAATAAGATAGCTGTGCGTATAATCCGAATTGTCTATTCAGATATTCAAGGAGAACGAGTTAATGAAAAGTTTCCTCCGGCGTATCTTTTGATAAATGTTTCGACAAGTTTTAAAAACTCCGTCTGTGGTTCAGTAATTTAACTTCAGAGTTGGAAAGGTAAATATTTTATTCGCGATTGGCGAGAGGGTGATTTCAGGATCAAGAGGAATATTAAAAAATGTGGATTGAGGCGGGATTAAAAATACGGAAGACAATTCGGTTATTTCACAATCATTCCGAGTGTCGAATAATGAATGTGAATTCAGGATAAAAAATTGCCACATCCAAAGTATAAATGACATCTTTGTAAAGTGATTATAATGTTATGATAGGCACTCCACTAATTACAGCTTCAATAATTCGTGGTAATCAACGAGATGTATTTTATTTTTAGCGGCCATACCTCATCTTCTCCAATTGGATTAATAAAACTGAAAGTGTAATCATGATC